TAAACCCACAAACCTGAAACTGTTATTAATCACTGAAACCAGACAACGAAGGTGTACTTATATTTCTGCGATAATAGACATGCATGCTTTGGTGGATTTCTCACAAGAAAAAGAGAAGAACTCTGAGTACAAGTCAGATAACGCAACCGGAAAAAACATATCAACACATCTTACAGCTGAACCCAATATAAAAAGTGAAAACTGGTAATAACTGCTAGTCATTTCCAACTGTGTATCCTATACTAGATATATATTAAAAAAAAAAAATTTGCATCCTATAAGCATCAATGTGCAACCATCTACTGAATAAATGATTTGATAGGACTGGGCAACGTTATGGATGAAATTGCAGTAAGTTCCTGACAAATCTAAGGCACAGAGTACTAATTGAAGTTGATAATATGGAGTTAATACAAGAATTTTCATGAGAATTTTGTTTGCAAGCAAAAGGAAAATGGTACATTAACTTAGGCTCACACTTCTGGTTAACGTTTTTCACTATAAGAGATTTAGAAACAAATTGGGTTTTGAATCAAATGCATAGAATATGAAAGAATCTGGAAACACCAAGCAATTCATACGAGAATCTCATTTGCTAAAGTTGGAACAATGAAACCTAGTTAAATTCAACAAATGTCAAAATTTGGCAATCATCTTCTAAGCAAAAAGCAGAATGAGAAATGAGTTCAAGTTATACTCACTGCCTAACCTGCAACATATTTCCGTACCAAGCAACAGAGCCTGTCCATTCCATCTAACAAGAAACCTAAAGTTGGATCATTTGCATCCTGCAGCCAAAACCATACATTCATGGTTAACGATTTGGCATAAATGGGAGCATGGTCCACCTCAAAAGATAAATCACAATAAATCCACATTCATATATAGCATTGTTTTAGTCATAGGATGGTGGGGAGAATGTTGCTTACTATTTCAACCGATATCACCCGTGCAGCTCTGGATTTTGAAGATGCAACTCCAATGTGTTGGAAGTACCATAGGACCTCATATTGGGCAAAAGCCATTGCAGAAAATACCATCTACAAGGAATCAACAAGAACAAATATAACAAAAAATATGATAGGAAATTCTGTTAGAAAAGGTAAGAAATTCAGATAAGCATAAACTTGCTAACCCCCCCTCATGTTAACCATATTGACATTTAAAAGATCCTTTCAACATGTTATTTAGACTGTATGAGAATTTGGCATAACGTGCACAATGCCTCAACTAAGATAATATCATAAAAAGAATCTTTAATCACTACATTTTGAGATTCAGGATAAAGTTAAATTTAAATAAATATTAGGATCAATTGAATATCAAATGGAGTAACAGTAGGTGTAGCCTTTCGTATCAATTAAGTTCCCATAAAATACACCATCTCTGGAAGGTTGGATAAGAAAAGAATTACAAGATATGACTAAGGAACCTTTGAGAGTAAGAGAGCATCAAAAGTGATTGAAGAGATGATTTGCATTAGAAATTTCCAAGGAAGAGTATGCTCTGCGAGGAAGAATGCCTGTAGAAGGTTCTTAAAACTATGGATAGGATTTCAATAGAAAAATAAGATAAACATCCCATGTGATTTGCTGGCAAAATTTCTCGTTTTGAGTGGTTTGAAATCAATGTGTGGTCATGTCCAAAAGTAGTGGTAGGAGGTGCTGAACATGTGAGGGATATATACTCTGGTCTAGGATCTCACAAAATTCAGCAAATGACTTATGCTGGCCATTGAGTATACACGATAAGCCATTGAAGTGGAACCACTACCTAACGATGAGGATGGTCTAATAAACAAATCCCACTACCTAACGATGAAGATGGTCTCTGCATATAATAATGGTAAAACTGGATTTCCCTAGGATTTCCTTCACATTCAACATAATTGGAGATATTTTATATCCAGTTATCAAATTTGTTTTTAGTCAAAGTTTTATGTTGCATGTGTAGTGCACAGTGGTGGACGATTGTTTGCTCCTCAATGGGGAATACATGTGCTCTAGGTTAGTTTTGTTTCTGTTAACTTCAGTTACGAAAAGGTCGCCCAGAAAAATACATGGCCACAGGCTCCATAATGGACTCCATCTACACAACTGAATAAAGCACAAGTTCATCGAGTCCCAGCACGATTCTCTCCTGTTCCAGCATGATGAACATTCAAAGAATCAGCTCTCTGGATTGAAAACTTCTCTAAATGTGTTCCATAAGCCGTATTAGAAGTCGCAATGAATCTTATTGAGGTAGAGGTAACCATTTTCACATTCTTGGATGTTCAGATTGATCAAAGTAGGAAAAAAATTCCTTCTTGAATTATGGCTTCATCCTCCGGGTTGCTGGGGTCTTGATAAGTGGAATATGAATTATAAATGCTTCAGTTATGCTAATGCTGAGTCGTGGTCGGGAGACGAGACGACACGGGTAGAGGTGATG